CCACGTGAGGTGAGCCCCATCTGCTGTCCCTTCGTTTGTCTCTAACTTTGCTTCCATGGTCTGCTGGCCACGGTGAGATCTAATGGTTCTCGGCCTCCATGGGGAGAGCAGAAGAATCCTCCACCCACTTCTGAGCTCTCTGCCCTGTGATCCTTTATTTATTTATATTTTAAATATTTAAATAACATCTTTACTGAATTAAAATTTGAACACCACACAATTTAAAAACAAAGTGTAAGACTCGGTAGATTTTAGCATATTGACAGTGTTGTACCACTGTGACCACACTCAAATTTAGATCATTTTTGCACCCACTGAACCAGTCTCTACCTTCATAGATATTGCTATTCTGGGAATTTATGTTTTTATTTCAAAGTAGATCATGCTCATAGCAACAAAAGACCTTAACATATCCGAAGAAATGGAAATCCTGCAAGGTGAGCTCTCACACCCTGTAAGAGTGAAACTAGAAATCAACAGCAGAAACATACTTAGAATACAATAGCTTTTTTCTCCTTCTCCCTATTATCTGTCTTTTATTTCATATGTTATATGTTAACTTTTTCATACAAGAGAAACCATGTGATGTTCAAGCTTGTATGTCCAAGTTACTTCACTTAATATTATGGTCTCAAGGTCCATCATTTTCCTACAAATCCTTCAAGTTTATCCTTCTTTATGGGAGAATAGTACTCCATTGTATGTAAATACACATTTTCTTTATCCATTCATCTATTGATGGGCATATATGGTGTTACCAAGATTTAACTATTACAAATTGTGCTGCTATAAATGTGAGCATGCATACATCACAGTGATATAGTTTTAACTCTTTGGAGAAGATACCTAAATGAAATTTCTATTTTTAGTTTAGTTTAGTTTTGGGTTTTTTTTGGTACCAGGGATCGAACTTGGGTCCTTGCACTTTGGAGGCAGGCAGGGAACCACTTAAATCCCTGGTACTGATTGATACTGATTTCCATAGTGATTGCATCAGTTTACACTCCTACCAACAATGAAGATGGGTTGCTTTCTCCCCAGTCTTGCCAACATTTGTTATTGGTTGATTTGTTGATGATAGTCATTCTTTCTGGATTGAGATGGAATCTCAGTGTTGTTTTAATTTGCATTTCTCAAATGGCCAGCAATGTTGAACATTTTTTCATGTATTTTTTTTTTGCCAATTGTATTTCTTCATCTGTGAAGTGTCTGTTCTTTTTAGATGTCCATTTTTTATTGGATCTTTTATTTTGGGGGTCTAGTTGTTTTTGAGTTCTTTATATATTCTAGATGTTAATCCTTTGAGGGGGAGCTGGCAAAAAAATTTCCCCATTGTGTACATTGTCTCTTCATCACATTCACATCTTTTAACCCCAGGAAAAGCAAATCTGAACCTCTGTACCACTCCAGGGAGATGGGGTAGGAACGGGATGCCCTCCTCACACCTACCCATGGGGCCCATGCACACTTTCTCTCACACCCCTGTATATTTGCAGCGCTTTTCCAACATCCACCTTTTCATTTCCCAGAGGTGACGGGATGTTGTCATCATGGATTTTCCAGAGTTGTCCTTTCCCAGTTACTTGATGCATCACAGCAATCCTCAAGCCCCTTCCCTCAGACCAAGATGCCTGTCAGACCAAATAGACCATCTTCTGAAGGTGCACTCAGCCCCTGAACCCTGGCCTGACCCTGGGCAGGGTTTCTTGGCAGGCAGAGCCATTTCAGTGGGAGATTTTGTCCTTGAGCCCCTCCAGGGACAGCTTGGGGCTCTCCCTTTGCTGTCAGTACCTGCGAGGTACTAACAGAACCACAGTGCTCTCACTTATTGCTGCACCCCAGCGGCTCAGAACACTGGATGTGTGCTCAGCATGAGTGTCCAGGCGTAAGTCTGCTTTGCTACCTTGAGCAAGTAAATAAACCACCTAACATAATGTACACAGTGTAATTAAAGTAAATGATGACTATAAAAATTTGTTTAAATTTATTACAGTAAAGAACACATTGCTGTGAATCCCCCTCAAAATACTTCCTCTTGCTTCAAACATACTTATCTCATCATTCTTGCCACCTTCTGAAGCAGTCCTGGGAGTCTTCTTTTTTTGAGTATCTTTATGATATATGATAAAAAAATATGATAAATGCTGCTGCTGATTGCCATCCAATGGAAAGGTAGGCTTATAAGAACACCTCAGTGCATCCTCATCCACCTCATTCACCGCATCTGGCACTGTTTGACTTCCGGCTCTTCCCCAAAGTCAAAATGAGCATGAAAGGTAAATGCTTTGAATAGATTCAGGACATCAAGGCATCCACAGTAGCACAACTAAAGATACTCATGAAAGAGGACTTCCAGAACTGCTTCAGAAAGTGATGAGAATGATGGGATAAGTTTTTGAAGGAGAGTATTTTTAGGAGGATTAACAGCAATGTGTATTTTATTGTAATAATTTTTTTTTAATTCAAGGGTCGGGGATTTAGCTCAGTGGTTCCTGCACCTGCCTTGCAAGCACAAGGTCCTGAGTTCAATCTCTGGTACAAAAAAAAAAAAAAAAAAAAAAAAAAAAATCAAGTGTTCACTGTATTTTTTGATCGTACCACATATGGCCTCATCTCAAAAATGAGAATACTCAAGAGTTCTTGGGGGAATAACTAGGATAATTGAAATGATATACTCTATACTCAATAAGTAATTTGCAGTTACAGTTAACTCCACATCCAAGCAACGGAGAGCTCTTGGACTTCCTTCCATTTTGGTGGCAACTTTAGCAGATGGTACCCAGGTTAGCAGCTGGTGACTCAACCAGCCCTCCCCTCTCATTCTCTTGTTCCTCATGTTTCCTTTTCCCACTGCCTCTTGTGCCAAATGCCTGGTGGTACCCCCTCCTCCAGTAATGTCACCGAGCAGCAGGACAGTAAGGCATCAGGAGGCTGCTGACTAACTGACATCTCTGGGGTGGGAGGGAGGCCTTTTAGAGCAGCCAGGTTTTGGAGCGGGTCACCAGCATGTAATTATGTAGTTCCTCTGCTGTCTGACTGCATTGCCTGTTACTTTGACCATGAATACAGATGGTGAAAACAAGCCTGTTCTTTCAATCCTGAAACAGTGGTCAAGAATTTGAAAAATACTATTTCTATTCTGCCCTCATTTTCTGTTTAATGCTAGTGTGATCATGAGTCAGATTTGGTGAGGTTCCAACAAAGATTTTTTGGCAGAGCTGACACAAGACCAGAAGCCAAATGGTATGACAATTGAGAACCAAAGTTGGTGATGCTTTATTTTAGCTTTTAAGGAATTGGCTAGGAAAGAGGACAGACACTCTGACATTGATATTAAAGGAGACCTAAATATTAGTGCTAACTCTGGCACTGGCCTGAGTCTCTGTTTCCTTTCCTCTTCTTTGTATTTACCCCATAATTTTCTTTTATGTGCTGTGTACAAGTCATAAATGTAAATTGGTTAATTAAATATTTGAGCCTCTCTTTTTAAGTGTGAGGGTTCATAGTCTCTTCTAGTAAGAAATAGCTTTCTAGATGAACTGTGTGTATTGTTTACAAGGTGTGATCGAAATATACAGTGAATGTTTAGATTTTTTTTTTTTAATTATTACAGTACAAGATACATTGCCATGAATCTCCCTCAAAATACTCTTCCTTGCTTCAAACATACTTATCCCATCATTCTTGCCACTTTCTAAAGCAGTTCTGGAGTCCTCTTTCCTGAGTGTCTTTAGTTGTGCTGCTGTGGCTGCCTTGATGTCCGATGTCCTGAATTGATTCAAAACAATTACCTTTCATGGTCTTTGAGTCTGGAGAAGAGCCAGATGTTGCACAGTGCCAGATGCAGTGAGTAAGGTGGGTGAGGACACGTGTAAGGTTTTAGCCTTTCTGTTGGATGGCAGTCAGTAGTAGCATTCACTATATTTTTTTGTCACATTTCATAAAGACACTCATGAAAGGGAACTTCTAGAACTGCTTCAGAAAGTGGCAAGATTGATGGGATAAGTGTGTTTGAAACAAGGGGGTGGATTTTGAGGGTGATTAATGGCAAGGTGGCTTTTGCTATAATCATTTAAAAAATTTAAACATTCATCCTATATTTTGATCACATTTTATAGGTAGTGCACTATTTGAGGTCAGCTATGGGAGACAAGGACACGGAATGCTCAATATTCTGTGGCAGAAATACAGACTAGTAAACATGTATTTGATTTCCATGAAGAGTCAGAAATTTTTATTTAGAAAGAAGCCAAATCCATCTGGGTGAACTGATAATAGTGTCTGGGATCTTTTGCTTGGAAACAGCCTAGTGAGTGGGGTGTGTTGAAGTAAAGCTGAAGTAAGAGGAGCCATATGCTGGTTCCTTATATGTTCTGTGTTCTTTTATATCTGCTTGCAATTTTTCAAGAAGTTCAATGTAAAAAACAGCTCAATGTAAAATATAACATGATATTGAAGTATTATGTAGCCATTAAAATAACACCTACCAAGAATTTTAATAAGGTGGTATAAATTTAAAAATCAGGAACTTAAACTTCCTAATGTGTGTCCATGTACACAAAATACTTGCATAGAAAAAATATTGGAAGGAGATTAAAATATTAATGTGGTTATCCTTGGTTGGTGAGATTATGGGTGATTTTTATTCTCTCTGTTTTCTAAACCCCTACAATAAACAAGAAAAATAGCATAACATAATTTCTCATCATTTGAGAAGAACCCTTTGGAAGAAAGAACCTAATCTGCATTGTGTAAATGAGTGAAACATTTGTTTTGCCCCTGTTTTCCATTCCATTGCCTCAGTTGGTGATTAGTAAAATGCTCCTAGGATTACTGATCTTGTGGCTGTGGCTATGTTTGGTTCCTGTCTGCCCTGCACTCTGCCCCAGACTCTGTCTCTGCAGGGATGTATGTGGGCAGAGCAGTCACTGCCACCATTACATTTATCAATAGCTTCTGTTCAGCGTGGCCCCTTAACATGAATTTCCTTCTTATTTTAGTGAGCTGGACGTGATTTCCACAAGGGTGATGGACATTAAGCTTCGAGAGGCTGCAGAAGGCCTTGGGGAGGACAACACAGGTGAGGCCCTGTTTTCCCCTGCACTGGGAAGAGCCTTTGGTTGTGAGGCAGGGGGAGAGGCTGACAGAGATGGCTTTGGGAGAGGGAGCATCCAGTCCCCAGCGTGGTCAGACACACCAGGCCCCCACGCTGTGATGGTGCACATACACATACACATTATTCAAGCCACTCAGGGGCAGGGTTCCTTTTGTTCTGTGCAAATATGGGGGATTCAAATACCATTTTCCTCATCTGGGAGGATGAGGAAACATTCCATGTTTGACTTAGAAGCAAAGGAAAAAGGGCTAAGTGGATTCATTTATCATCCAAGGTTATCCAAAGGTGTCAGTCGAAAAAAACACAGGAAAGCCTGATCAGCCAGAAAAATAATTACATCAAGAGAGAATCTTTGACCCCTCTCTCTGATGACTTTTATTCCCCTCCAGGAGGCCTTTATTATAGCCACTCCTGAGTAGATTCCAGGGCCATGAATCATCATCTCAGAACACCATCCAACAGTTATCCAGTTATGTGATTGGTTCACTCTTTTCCACATATCCCATTTATGTCTTCATAGAGTTGTGAAATTGACATTCAGGAACATTGATCTCCCCACAATGTACCTTTTCTCTAGATTAGGCATTTATCCTCCCCTTATTTTGTCAACAAAAGCCTCCAGCTCTTGTTTAAAGTCAAAATCCCAATAGTGATTTTCTGTGATTTAGTTCAGGAAGAATAACTTCCAGTGATATTAAATTCTAGCCCCTAGCCACTAGCTTCAGATACTAATTTCAGCAAAGACTTTATTTTATATATTATAAATATATTTTCTTGTTACTCTATATTAGAATCACTTTTTCTCTGTCACATTTCAATAGGTACCAAATAAACCCAAATATAAAGTAAGGTATTATTAAGATTAATACTGAGGAAAAAAATGGAGTTTCAAATGTCCATGATGGGATCTTGAATTATTACTCATTTTAAATAAGAAAATAGTTTGAATAAGTATTTCATTATCCTGAAACAACCTTAATAAATGCTAATGTAGGAAACTTATAGAGCTCCCCATGAAAAATCAGTTTGAAACAGAAAGAAAGAAACTAAATGTCCCCCCCCTCCAAATAATAGTGATCCGAATGTTTTTAGATAAGCTCTCTCCCACTCAAAATTAAGAATTATCTAGATAAGAGATTCTTTACAACTATTTTTAAAAATAAGAAATAATGAGGCCAGAATGAGAGAAAAATGGTACCCCAGAAAGATGAGTAAGCACAAGATCTTTTACCAATCTTAGAAATTTAAAATTTCAGTTTCATGTCTTCATAGGGTGGAAGGAGAGAGAGGGAGTCAGAAAACAAAGTACAGGATGTGTAGCAAGTGGACTGCTGAATAAAAAGCAGTAACCCAGGTGCTCAAGGAGCTAGAGAATCTCAGTGGGTGTGAATCAGGGATCAGCCAACCCTCTGTGGATTTGTAGCTTATGTGTGTATCACTTGGGTAATTAGAGTACTTCAACCCTTAGTTAATAGAGCACTGACACTGGGTGTAACCCCAGCAATAATCTTCTCTAGAGGAAGATGCCTTCCATCTGTCTATTACTGTAGAACATAACGTTTTCAGTTCTATGACAAGCGTCCACTCAGTGATAACCAAGTGTATAAGATAGCAGGGCACCACGGACAGGAACCAACATGCTGTGAGTTGAATTTTGTCACCCTAGAAGTCCTATGTTGAAGTCCCTGGCATCTCAGAATGTGCTCTTATTTGGTAATTAGTTAAGAAGATACCATACAGGAATAGGGTGGGCTCCTAACCCAGTGTGAATGCTATCCTTATACAGAGGGGAAATGTCAACACAGACATGCATGAAGGGGGAACAGCCTGTGAACCCAGAGGAGAAGATGGGGTTGGTGCATCCACAAGCTCAGGGATGCCAGAGATTGCTGGCAAACTGCCAGAAGTTGGGGAGACAAAATGGGACAGATTTCTGTGTCATGGCCCCAAAAGGAGCCAGCCATGCCAACACCACCTTAGCTTTAGCCTTTTAGACTCTGGAGCTATGAGACAATTCATGTCTTTTTTTTTTTCTGTACCAGGGATCGAACTCAGGACTTTGCACCTGCAAGGCAGGTGGCAGCACCACTGAGCTAAATCTCCGGCCCAATTCATATCTTTTGAAGTCACTCAGTTTGTGGTCCTGGCAGAGCAACCCTAGTGAACTAACGTATAATAGAAACAAACACTGAAGGCATAAATAGCAGAATGATCACATATATGTTATAAAACAAGTATGTATAATTTTGGAGATAATAAAAGTGATGAAAATATTTGGAAGTGGCAAGAAACCATAAAAAGCAATATGGCAACCAACCATGGCAATAAGGCAAGCAAAAAAAAAAAGAGCATAAATATGGAAGGAAGAAGTAAAACTTCTCTATTGGCAGATGATATGATTAGCAAAAATATACAGACAAGAATAAAACTCAAATTTAGCAGGGTTGCAAAATATAAAGTCATTAAAATCAGTTGTATTTCTATACATTACCAATGAATAATTAAACATTTGAAATCTTTTAAAAGCACCAAAAATTTGAAATACTTAGGTATATATCTAACAAAATATATGCAACAGTATTGAAAAATACAAAAAATTGCTTTAAAATTTAACAGAGACCTAACTATAGGAAGAGAGAGATACCATGTTTATGGTTCAGAAGACTTGGTGTTGCTAAGATGTTGCTTCTCCACAAATCGAGCAGCAGATGATGTGTTCAGTATATATAGGTATGCTGCATTGTTTAAAAGACAGATATGAAACTCTGGAATGCAGTTAGCTTGATATTTGGAGCAGAAATATTGACCATTAATCCTTTTCTATTTTCATGAATATTCATAAACTTTTTTATGTAGGAAAGACCCAAATCTAGAGGAACAAAATGAAAATAGTGTATGGAAGGATTTGCTTTGAAATAGCCTGCAAGGAATGGCAAAGGAATTGGTAAATACAAAGCAGTCAACATCCCAGCAGAATTTTTTGCAGATATTGGCAAGCTGATTCTAAAATTAATGTGAAAAAACAAAAAACTACAAGAAGGGAAACAGTTTTGAAAAAGGACAAAATTGGAGGACTCATAGTACCTGATTTCAAGACTTATTATGAAGCTACTATAATTGAGAAGGTCAGATATTGGGAAAAGGATAGATATGTAGAGATAAGTAGAACAGAATGGAGTCCAAAAATAGACCCACATAAATATGATCAGTTGATTTTTGACAAAGTTATAAAAACTATTCAATGGAAAAGGGATAACCTTTCATCAAATAGTACTACAATAATTGAATATGCATATGTAAAACCAATGGACATTTATCTATGTCTCACAGGTTATATAAAAATTAACCAAAATATATCATATATTTGTTTACATAAATGTAAAACTCTAAAGCCTTTAAAAGAAAGCATAATAGAATACTTATGGGGCCAGGGATTTAGCTCAGTGGTTCCACCGCCTGCCTCGAAAGCACAAGGTCTGGAGTTCAATCCCCAGTACCAAAAAACTAAACAACAAAAAGAGAGAGAGAGTACTTATGACCTAGGTTTAGGTAATAGTTCTTAGATTCGGTATCTCAATCCATAAAAGAAAAAAATGATAAATTGGATTTCATCAACATTTAAGAGTTTTCTCTGTGAAAGCCACTGTTAAGAAAATAAAAATACAAGTTAAAGTGTAAGAAGATATTTGTCAATCACACTTGATGAAGAACTTCTATACATCATATACTTAAAACTATCAGAATTCAAAAAGAAAAATCTAGTTACAAAATAGGCAGAAAATTTTAAAAGATGCCTAGATAGCAAATAAGCATATGAAGAAATGCTGAACATGAGTTGCTGGTAGGAATACAGAATGGCACATCCACTTTGGACAAATTTCAGACATGTACAGCCTATGACTCAGCAGTACCACTCTGAGGTATTTACCTAAGAACAATGAAGACTGATGTTTACATAAAAACTTACAGCAACTTTATTCATAATTGCTGAAAACTGAGAAGCCAAGTGTGCTTCTGTTGGCTGAGTCCATATATCTGTACCATGAAATGCTACTCAGCAATAAAAAGGGATAAACTATTGGCAGACATAATGACGTGAATGAGCCTGCATGTGAAAGAAGCCAGAGGCCAGAAGGCTACGGACTGTCCTACTTGATGCATGTGACACTCTGGAAGGCAAAGCTAGGAACAGGGAAGTTATTAGTGGACACCAGGGATTAAAGGTAAGGGAAAGATTTGACTCTGGAAGGACAGCTCTGGAAAACTTTGGCAACTGATATTTTACAACTTGATTGTGAGGATAATTCTGGGACTCCATGTATACTGGAGAGAGGGGTGAGGAGCACATGTGCGGGGAGCAAACCAAGGGCCTTGTGCACACTAAGCATACACGCTACCACTGAGCGACACTGAGCCTGAAAGTGATTTTTTTAATGTAAAAAGAATTTTCTGGAATTGATTAACAAAAAAAACCCAATGCACAGATTTAAGAAACCCAGTGATACTGTGATAAAAAACAGCATGGTACTGGCAAAGAAACAGACTGGAGGACCAGTGGAACAGATTAGAAGATGCAGAAACAACGCCAGACACACTCAGCCACCTCATCTTCGACAAAGGAGCCAAACACCCTCACTGGAGGAA